AATAAGGTTCAAAAATAAAGAAAGGTTAAGTAGAGAATTCTAATCTTTAATTTCTGAAGGACTGTACATGTTTTCCTTTTGATGGAAATCTCAGCCTTAAAAGTATGTGTATTAAAAAGTCTTATGCTTCTCTCATGTAATGCCTAGAAACACAAAGTCATCTTGCATTTCATTGGCCTAAGACTTATAAATGACATTTATACTCAGTGCACGGTGTTTTAACGTTAGAACACAGCATTTTACATCAATTTCATTAACAGCTATAGTGAGAAAGCTGTTCGGTAGCAGAGCAGAATATGCCAGAGGAACCCAAACCCATCGGATCTGAAAATCATGGCACTGTGGTAGTAAAACAATTAAGAGTACCCCAGAAGGAGAGAAAACTCTGACAATTAACCTCGAATGCTAACGAGTACTACTACTTTCTTAGGACAAGTTTTATCTTCAACACAAACATGAAAAATTTAGTTCCAGTCATCACTAACTTGAACAGTCATATTTTTTTTCAAATGGACTTTCAATTTTGGTAAAATTTTAGGACAAAAACCACTTAATAAAAAATACTGCATGGGAAATATATTAAATTCTAGGCAGTTCCCACATTAAACAATAGGTACTCTAAAAGTTCCTTTTTCAGTATATTTGGAAGTCAGGACTGACTTTCTCACAGAAACGTCATTACGTGCAACAGTTTCCAGGCAAATCCACGAGAGACTATGGATAACCCCTAACAGAGCAGGATGATCACTGTCTGTAATCCACTCAGTTCTCCCAGCATCCAGTGGCCAGGGCTGTGGCTGGTCCAGAAGCTCCAGAGAAGCAAGGCTGGAGCAGGGAAAGCACACAGAGGAGAGAGTCTGATGGCCGGAGAACCAGCAGCCAGTGTTGAAGTCCATGGGCCGGCTGTGATTCGGGCAGTGTTTACAGCAAAGAAGGCTCCCACATTAATCCCAACCATAATTCCTCCTCTACTTCCACAAGAACACCAGACTGTAAGTCTGGGTTTCTGAAAAAAAAACAATGCACAAGGCTCAGAAGTCCCAGAGTCCAATTACTGAATTTTGGGCCCCACTTTCCCCATATGGTTTTAAACTGATAATCTTAAAAGCCCTTTGTACTTAGAAAACCTGCAACAAACATTATAATTAAAACAGATTATGAGAGAGCGAAGGTTTTTTTCTCCCCATTTTTGAGCAATTAATATATAGAGAGAGCTGTGTTCAGAATTGTGTATACATGAATGAACATACTTGATCAAGTACATATATTAAATGCTTTCAGTTTTAGGGGAAGAAATAGATAAAAACTTAAATACAAGAAGACACATACAGAATAAAAAGAAGCCCCAAGATGAAATATACTTTTAAAATATGAACAAGAAATCCTGGAAAACATAATTAAATCATGAATAAGTAACAGAAAAAAAGAGTAAAATGCTTACTAGTTCCATGGCTGATTTTGAAATTATGAAAGAAATCCCAAAGAAAAATGCAGTCAAGTCAGCAAATAAATAGTAGACTTAAAAGATAACAAAATTATATTTATACATAAAACATAATATTGGGAAAATAGCTACACCAAATATGAAAAAGTGGTTATAAGGAGTTATAAGGTTATATGGAACACACATTCAAATTAATCAGGGAAAAAATACAAGATTATTTCCCACAATTCTGGCAGGCAATAGTGTAACTACTCTACTTATGTGTTAAGGATGACAATAAAAACCAGCACCACCTCTTGTAAAACCCTGTAAATATAAACACAGTCGCCAGAACAAGGTCACCTCCCTGTGACCTGAGAGAGAAGAAGCCAGTACAGTGAAATCTACTGGACAGGAAAACATGTCTCTGGTCTTTCATCATGACCCCTGCACCACCCCTACTGCCTGGAAGAACAGCAGCAGGAACCTCCAGGTGAGGTCCTACGGGAACAGACAGGTGGTCAGCTGCAATCTAGATTCAGTTACATAGTTCACTGGTGGTGCCACCTGTCAAATGTGTACCCTCCAGTTATCCATGTTTTCTGCACTAGGGTCTGTGTGTTCCCAAGTAGGGCTGCGCTGAAGATCCCTACATTTGTGACTTCTTGTCTGTCTGCCAGCCAATTATGATAACTTTCTAGGTTCAGAGAAGAAAAACAGCCTCTCACTATGACTAACACTGCTGCCTGGCAAGAACCAGCTTCTCCATCCAACATGGCCAGGGCCCTTGACCCAGCTGCATAAAAAAACAGGAAATAGTGCTTTGGTAATGACCACTGGATGCTCACTGTATCCTCGGTTTGGGCTGGTCACCTGCTATTGCTGACCTCTGGACTTCCTGGCCAGCTCCAGGGCACTCACGATGTTTCCCAAGCTCAACTTACCTTGAGACTAAAAACTAAGAGTAAAAAAAAAAAAAAAAGATGGAGAGATCAGTGGATGGGTGGATGGGTAAATGATGTACAGGTAGGCACAAGGTGAGCATTCCATCAGCTGCTTTTAGAATGCCTTTGATGGAATCTATGTACCTCTTACAAAACCATGATCAACCTGGTCCGTGCTATGTTTCTGAGATAACTCTTTGCAACTGACTTCTGTCTATGATTTGGCTAACACCATTAAACTGCCTGTTTTCCAGTCCCTGTCTATCCAATTCCTATGTCAGAACAGGCATGTAACCATAAAAAATGTAATTATAAATACTACGTATAATATATAAAAAGAGCTTAAATAAAACAACAACATCTTTCTTTCTCTCTTGCTATGATAAGTCCAAAAGCCATCATGAGCAAAGTGGGCATCTGCATGAAAATGGTAGGCATGTGGAATGGGGTGAGGAAGGGTTCTGCACTAAGAGAAAGGTAAGGGCACCCAGCACGAATGCCACAGCCTGAGCAGGAAGAGGAGGGCCCCTGCTTGAAGAGGCGGAAGCAGTGACAGGATACTGGTTACATAATGAGAGTCAGGTTTGTCACTGTCAGAAAACGGTGCTACAAATAAGAAAAAGGAGAAAACTAGAACGAACTCTGCTACTGCGTTGAAATTAGAGGTGTTAGTATGAAATTCCTTGTTAGCAATATAGGTAGTAAAATATATTTCAATATAGCAATATAAATAAAAATAGTTATGAATGTTCACACACACACACATTTTCCTTAACTCTGTTGACTGACAGGACCCAGAGGCAAGGATACTTCAGTGGCAATGAGCGCACCAAGTGCCCAGATCTTGGTTTCTAGATCCTGTTCTCCACTAAAGGAAGCCAGGGTCCTTGCAGAACTCCCAGTTCCAAGGAAGTGAAAGATGGGCCTGGGAAGTGTTCACAATGGGACAAGCCAAAAGAACAGAGAAACCAGCTTAAGAGGAACTCCCACTGGCCAATCTGGGACAAGTTGAGCATCAAAACAAATGACAGAAATAAACTAAAACTTACCAAATAAAATAGCAAGCCATATAACCCTGTTGATTTAAGTTAATTAATGGATAAATAAATGGCAAAAAAAGAGATATCGTTCTTAAAGTAAAAAGCCAACTTACTGTAAAAGTAGTTTTTTTAATTACAAAAATATTGTTTCAAAATAAATAATAATTGTAAAAAAAGAAAATCACCATTCAGCATCCATCAGCATAAAAATTAAATCAGACCAAAAAAATCAATGGATTCTAAAAACTACTGATGATGAAAGTATGATAAACAATGGAATTTTTTATCTCAAACTATTATACCTTCCCACTATCTTTATTAATAAAAAAGAGAAAATAGTAACTTCATGTATACAGCTCTATAACACATCATCTGTATACTGCATTGTGTGTTCACCATTCAAAGTCAAGTTTCCTTCCATCACCATATATTTGACCCCCTTTACTCTTTACAACCTCCTTCCATCCTCCTTTCCTGCTGGTAACTAACAAACTGTTGTGTGTGTCTATAAGATTTTATTTGTTTATCTTGTTTATTCATTTGCTGTTTTCAGTTTTATATCAAAAATGCAAAAAAGTGAGTAACTTCACAGTGAGGAAGTCTAGCAAGCTCCTCTTTACTCAGATGGTCACAGAGAGCACCTTTAGTAATGGCAAGAGACATTGTGTAACGGGACAGAAGAAAGGTACAGCATCATTCTCCAATATCCCTGTCAAAATGCATGATACTAGACCGATCATGAGACATCATCAGATAAATACTACATTTATGTAGAGAACATTCTATAACATATCAGACCTGCAGTTTTCAAAATTGTAAAAATTATAGAAGGAAAGACTAAAGATTTCTCCCAGACTGAAAGAGACTAGGGGGACGTGGCAAACAAAGTTAACACAGGATACCGAATTGAATGGTGGACCCATTACAAACACTGCTGGGACAAAAGGTAAAGGGAGCTGAGAATCAAAGGGTAGAAATGTTTCTGCGTCAGGTTCCTAATGTGAATGGTTGGATGTGGATGTGGATTCCTAATGTGGATGTGGATATAGAGGATGCCGTTGTTTGAAGAAGACATGCACTGAAGTATTCAGGGTTGGCAGGGCAGCAGGTTAGCAACGTACTTTCAAATGCTTCTGAAATTAAAAAAGCTCTTTGTACTATTCTTGAATAATACTTGAAATTATTTCAAAAAGAAAAAAGGATATAATTCAAGACCCTTTATGTTATAATTATAACTTGTGATTTAAAAATATAAATGAGGTAATAAAATTATTAAGAGGCCATTGTGTTAAGGTTTTGCATTTGAGGGCTACTCTTTTAACTTAAAAAAACATCTTTAAAGCCATATATCCTTTACAACAATAATTTCTAAAACAACTACATACATGTTCCTGTGTAATTCAATAAGACAATGGGGATTATAAAGAAGTCCTTCAGCAAAATAAAAGAGAAAACAGCATAATGAAGCAATCTTCCCCCTTTTCATACTTAATTGGTAAATAATTCTAAGATGTACATGTTCCCCTAGCACAGAGCCTACTTGTGTTCTAGAAACACTACACACAAAAACACTGAAAACTGAAACCCAAATACCTTGATTTAGGTGTGTGGCCTCCATGACCTGAATACCATTCACAGAGCACTGAGACCCACTCAGGGGTATCAGAGTCACTGTCCCCCCGACATTTTCAAAGATACAGTGCTCACTCTCCAAGTCAAGGCCATGAAGAACTAAATTGGAAAAAGAAGAGAAAGAAATGTTTTCCTTTGGTATCAAGTGCAATGATTCCTATCTTTACTTATTTTTCCATATTGCATACTTTTCCTTTTCCACATAAATATTGTGAACATTTATGTTTAGTGAGAAAACTGAACTTCAGGAGTGTGTGGCATGGGCTGACAGAACTGAAGGTACCCCTTGAATGCTACCTTAAAGCATCTGAATATCACCTCTAAAAGGAAATCAGTTCTGGGATGTTAATTTTCTTCATCTTCAGGGAAAAAAGTAATTGAGTACCAGTAACTTGTCTGAACTGCATACCACTGAGCTGTGTTTGATCCTGAATAAATTTCCTTCATCAGCCACCCAAGGTTCTCAATAAAATGGAGGGAAAAGGGCTCCATGGGTCAAGAACTTATTGTAACATCCATATTTACAGACCCTCTGTTCCAAATGCAGAAACCAAAGGTGAAACTGGCGTGGATCTTGGCAGGTGCCAGGAAGTCTCTGTAAGCTGTACCAGAATGAACACTGTCACACCCTGTACCAGTTCTGAGAGAACTTGACCTCAAAGACCTCTCAGAGCTCGTGGCTGCTAAGATTTCCCTAATCACACATGACCATCCTGAGTTATTCTCATTTAATGAATGGCCAGGCATGGAGGTAAATGCCTTTCAAATAAACCTACACAACTGTAGGCAAAGGTCTTGGCCAGCTTCCCAGGAGTACAGACCAAATTTAGCTCCCACTATTCTCCACAGACCTGCACTACTGAACTTCTTTGCTCACAGAAAACGTGTTTTTACCACTCATCATTACTGATAGCAACCTCAAAGGTTAAACATAATTTAACATTAGAAGAAGAGGCCTGATGCCTAGTTCTACTCAAAAACAGTTAAACCTCAAGACGTCCTATAACTGGTTTCAGCTCTCCCAGTTTCAAAGCAAATAGTAAATATATGAAGGAATACACTAGGGTTAATATGCTACAGTTGGTTTGATTAATAGTTTATACTTGGTGGAAAAACAAAGTTCATCACCAGCAATTCCAAAAGCAGCTGAGAAGATATGATTCTTCCCCTGCCAATCCTCTTTGCCACACACACCTATACCCACCACCACCACTGCCACAAATTCCCTAAGTTCTGCCTTTAAAGTCTGGCAACTCCTCACCTGCTCAGGCAGAATCACTGGTTGGCTACGTGCCTCAGGAAGACTTTCTGGAAACCCAGGCAGTGGTACATGTGCATGCTGTATATGTGTGCATTCTGCTTTCCTTTATCACCTTTATGCAGATTAAGTGTCCATATCCTTCCCATTAAGGGATCTTGTATCCTTTACCTGTGTCTGTTGACATATTTTATCAATCATTGTCCTATGTGACCAGAAGCGTGATTTAAATAAATGTACTCTTGAAAGGTGTGACAAGAATATAGAATACATGTAGGGTGAGGGGAAAGGATTCAGCGTTTCATTTCATTCAATGAATTAAATGTTCTGTTTATTAGAGTTCTACATTATAGAATACATATACTGATCAAGATTGTACTTCCTTTTTTGTGATTACTTTATGTCTGTCATTCGAAAAAAAGTTCTTCATTAAATGATATTTAAAATCATGGGGAAATCATTGGGAAGAGGAAACTGACAAAGATTCTTACCAATATCTTGTTCTGTTGAAGCATCTTCTCTACCAACATATGTCTGACCTTCCTGAGTAGAAAAGACAAGTAACATTTATTAGTAAGCAATGGAGAAGTTTCTCCATTTTTATTTCAGTCCAAGCAACTGGATGACCTGATGAGCAATGTCCTGGGAAGGCCACAGCAACGTCTCGGGAAAGTCCAAAGACTCAGGACAATTAGAGTTCAGAGGCTCTGAAATAATACCAAATGTTGTCTGGAGAATGACAGCTGAACTCCCAGGGCTTACCGTCCAACAATGCATGCACACCTATTTTGGCATGTATCATGATCTGCCCGTGACATTCCTGATCTTTGCTGAAGAGTTTCTCCTCCAGTAGACAGGGGTCTCTCTGTGTCTAAAGATACAGTTTATGGGAGCCCATAAAGCAGGGTGCAATCAGAGAGAGGATACTAAACTCAAGATTACAGAAGCAACCACTGATACTGATATGGAAATTCTCTTCTCTTGATATGAGTAACCTGTTCAGGACCAGGGGCAATAATGTAGGCAGGAGACACCATTTCAAAATAAACACAAGGGCCCTGGCTGGTGTGGCTCAGCTGGTTGAAGCATTGTCCTGTACGCCAAAAGGCTGAAGGTTCAATCCCCAGTCAGGTCACACACCTAGGTTGTGGGTGTGCACTCCAGTCAGGGTGCACATGGAGGCAACCAATGAATACATCTCTGTCACAACAATGTTTCTCTTTCTCTCTTTCTCCCCCTCTTCCCCTTCTCTCTTTAAAATCAATAAGCATATTAAAATATTTTTTACATTAACATGAGGGCCCAGGAAACTATGTACAGCCAATCCAAGTACTTGTGACTTTCCTTCCTTAGTCCGTCTGCTTTTTTGTTCCTTATCCTCCTCTTACTGATTCTACAAATTAGAAGGTAAAGTAAATGGACTTTCATTTAGCTTTAGATTCCACTGAAATGGGAACCTCTAATACCACAGAGTCACAACGTCCTGTGAAAACCCGCACTGGGCTCCAGGACTCCTTGCATGTTCCTGAATGCAACAGCTGTGTTCGTGGGCACAAAGGATTATAACCAACCTTGCTAGTGTCTAAAGAGAAAACTGAGAACAGAATTAGAATGTTCCACATAGGCAGTGTTTACCTTCAAATGATATAAAATAATTCCAGTACTCAGAAGGTCATCATCAATGCCAATCAAATGGGGCAGTTCAGAATCCAAAACAACACCAATCCCTTCTTTCCTAAGGGCTAGAGTTTGTTCCTGAAATCAGGAATGAAAGAAAAGGAAAAGGTTACTTTGAACAAAGAGAGCATCGTATTTGGTGTTCTTTTCTTTTTTAAATATTTTCTAGAGTGTAAAAGTTATTCATTTCTCATAAAAAAACATTGTAAGAAAAATGGACCTTAAATTTCATACTACAATCCTGGCACATAGTAAGTAAAGTGAATCTGCAACACATAAAACCTCAACTAAAATGAACTAAACTTATTGTGTGATTTATATAACCTCTCTGAAACCAAGCTGAAACTCTGCTTTTCTTAGGTTCTATAACCATCTGACTACAAAGGAATCTTCCTCCCTCTTCAAAACTTTTATTTCTCTTAATATCTGAAGATGCCTCCTGATTTGCTGGCTCTTCTCTCGAGTTACTATGGACAAATTGTGCATGTTCCTAAGAGGACTACTGTCCTGTGCATTAGTTCCTCTGGCACCACAGCTACTTGACCCTCTGTCTCCTGCCTCATCTTCTATCTGTGGATCACATAAATCTGCTTTAGATTTCCCACCAACCACTACCACCACCGCTTCCCTGGGCCAGTATCTCCCTCTAGCTACCACCAATTTCTCTCTCCCCCTTTAGTGAAAAGCACCTCCAGAGAGTTTCTACGCTTGTGATTCTCCAATTCCTCCCCTCCTCCTTTCTCTTGAACTCATTCCACGGAGACTTCACCTGCAATCTGTAAAGTGATCGATTCTCAAATCTAAATCCCCAGGCAGACCTCAGTCTCCCTCTCTCTTCTCCCCCTGCATTTCTCTTCTCTCTCTCTCTCTCTCTCTCTCTCTCTCTCTCTCTCTCTCTCTCTCACACACACACACACACACACACACACACACACACACACACACCGTTTGCCTATCTCAACATATCTGTGAGGAGAGCAAACAGGAAGCTCAAACTTAACACACTGAAAAATCCACTCTTGTTTCCTCCTGCCTCCCAAACCTGCACATTTGCCCTTCTCAGTGAATGCCAACCTTCCTTACAGTTACTAGGACCCAAACCATGACTGTACTTTCTCTAAACCCTACATACTTAGTGTTCACTCCACCATCAAAACACACCCCTCATCTGATAGCATCAGGCCACCTGTGCCACATTCCTTCCTGACCCAACCATTCGCATCTTTTACCCAGATCACCACAACGATCAATTATACTACCACTTAAGTCCCGCCTATGGTACACACTCTACTTGATGGCCAGAGGGATATTAGAGCAGGCCACTCCTCTGCTCAGATCCTTTATGTAGCTTCCCATTTCAGTGAGATAACAGCCAAGTCTTTGTAACATTCTACAAAGCACTACATGATCGCATGCCTTGCCAACCTCTTGCTCTCATCTCCTGCCACTCTTCCCCTTGTTCATGCCTGTCTAGGAATCCACAGACCCTTGCTGTCCTCCAACTTGCCAGCTTACCCCCACCCCAGGGCTGCTGTTTTTCCTTTTTTCCTTCTGATGTTGGGGTTGCTCTGTGTTCTGGCACTGTCAATTCATTCTCCTCCCCTAGAGCAAGGTTTCTCTACCTTGGCGCTACTGACATTGTGGACCAGATGATTCTTCACTATGGGGGAATATTCTGTGCACTGCAGGTTTAGTGGCATCCCCAGCCATTACCCATTAGATGCCAGTAACATACTCCCTCCTCCCCAAGGCTGTGAAAAGCAAAAATGTCTCCAGACACCAGCAAATGTCCCGTGGAGGTGGGGGTCAGGGGGTGGGGAGCGACAGACTCAATTTTAAAGAATTTCCTATATACATATATAACTTGGCCCTTACTTCCTCAGATCTCTGCTCAAAAGCCACCTTCTCCCATCACCGCATACAAGACAGTAATCACCAACCTCCCTTATCCTCAGTTTGTTTCTCTCCTCAGCAATTATCATCATGTGTTATACACAAATATATTATACAAATACTACAAACAAGTAACTAATTTCATACCTAGCATATAGTGGCTCCTCAATTAATATGTTTCAAATAAATTAATATTTAACTCTGCACTGACCAGTATGGGTCAGTTGGTTGAGTGTCAATCTAAAAAGCTAAAGGTTGACTTCCAGCCAAGATGGAGGCGAAGGTGGAAACACTGTACCTCCTTGTACAACCAAGTTTAAAGACAACAGTTTTAGTAACAAAAACACAACCAAAACACAGAAAATTGAACTGTACGGAAGTCCGACAACAAGGAACTAATCAGCCAGACCAGTAAGAGGGGTGGAGTCAGCAGCTGATGGAGTGGGGTTAAGCAGGAAAAAGCTGCCAGACTGACTCAGAAGCACAGGCGGCAGTTGGCAGATCCCAGGCATGGGGTGGCAATGGGCAGACCCAGTGAGGGAGCAAAACAGCTGGCTGACCTTGGTCACACATTTGCACGCAGATAAACCAGGTGAAAGAGCGAGCAGTGAGACAGACTACACAGGCTAGGGCCCCAGCGATGGGAATTAAAGTCTAAAAGCACCAACTGGAAAAACTTTCAGGGTCCAGGTGATGGGAGAAGCTCCCAGGCTCACAGAGAGTTTGTTGGAGAGACCCACAGGGTCCTGGAGGATGCACAGGCCCACACACACAGGAGCCAGCACCAGGGGGGTCCGGTTTGCTTGTGGGAAGCAGCAGAGGGGACCGCAATCCAAGATAGAGTGTGGAACAAGCGTGATTGCCCCACTCTGACCCCACCCCCACATACAGCATCACAACCCAGAGACTGGGTCGCCCCACCCTGGTGGAAACTTAAGGGTCTGCCCCTCATACATAACAGGTGGGAAGAGACCAAAACATTATGGCTCAAGAAGAACAGCTCAAAGCCCCAGAGCCCATACTTCTAAGCGACCAAGAGATAGCCAACCTATCAGATGCACAGTTCAAAACACTGGTGATCAGGATGCTCACAGAACTGGTTGATTTTAGTCACAACTTAGAGGAACAAATGAAGGCTAAACTAATTGAAAGGAAGGGAAATGCACAGGAAACCAATAGTGATGGAAACAAAACTGGGACTCAAATCAAGGGAGTGGACCAGAAGGAAGAAAAAAATGACCAAACAGAAAAGGATGAAGAAACAAGAATTCAAAAACATGAGGAGAGGCTTAAGAACCTCCAGTACATCTTTAAACCTTTCAACATCTGAATTATAAGAGTAGTAGAGGGGAAAAGGAAGAGCAACAAGTGGAAAACTTATTTGAACAAATAATAAAGGAGAACTTCCCCAATCTGGCAAAGGCAATAGACTTCCAGGAAATCCAGGAAACTCAGAGAGTCCCAAAGAAGTTGGACCCAAGAAGGAACACACCAAGGCACATCATAATTACCTTGGCCAAGATTAATATGAAGGAGAGAATCCTAGAAGTAGCAAGAGATAAGGGGACAGTCACCTACAAAGGAGTTCCCATCAGACTGTCAGCTGACTTCTCAAAAGAGACCTTACAGGCAAGAAGGGGCTGGAAAGAGATATTCCAAGTCATGAAATCCAAAGACCTACATCCAAGATTGCTCTATCCAGCAAAGCTTTCATTTAGAATGGAAGGGCAGATAAAGTGCTTCTCAGATAAGATCAAATTCAAGGAGTTCATCATCACCAAGCCCTTATTATATGAAATGTTAAAGGGACTTATCTAAGAAAAAGAAGATAAAAAATATGAACAGTGAAAGGACAGAAAACTCAGTTATCAACAACCACACCTAAAACAAAAGCAAACTAAGTGGACAGCAAGATCAGGAGTGGAACCATAGAAATGGAGATCACATGGGGGGTTAGCAACAGGGGAGTGGGAGAAGGAGAAGGGGGGAGAAGGTACAGAGAATAAATAGCATAGACAGTAGGTAGAAAATATTGGGGAGGGCAAGAATAGTATGGGAAATATAGAATCTAAAGAACTTGTGACACATGGACATAAACTAAAGGGGGGGAATGGTGGGGGAGGGGGTGTGCAGGATGGAGGGGAATGAACGGGGAGGAAATGGGACAACTGTAATGGCATAATCAGTAAAATATATTAAAATGAAAGAAAATTAAAAAAGCAAAGCTAAAGGTTGCCAATTTGATTCCCGGTCAGGGCACATGCCACAGTTGTAGATTCAGTCCCTGGTTGGGGTGTGAACCAGAAGCAACCAAGGTGTTTTTCTCCCTCTTCTGTAGCCTCCCTTCCTCTAACTCTAAAAATAAAACCTCTAAAAATAAATAAATACACTCTAATAACTTCCACTCAAAGTAGAATGATTTCTACTTTACAGAGAAATGCAGGAAGAATGGTCCATGGCAGCCCCTCCAGGAAAAGACTTGCAGGCCTATGTCCTAACATCAGGCCCATCTGACCCAAGACAAAAAAAAAATCTATAAAACTAGGCTTCTGGCAAGTCCAAGGGAAAGTAGACATCCTGCAGAAGACTAAAGGTGAAAATTCCACCCTTGCGGTTGGGCTGTGCTAAGTTCTCGCTGTCATACCCGAGAGCATGACACTGTGCTCTGTGATTACAGGCATAGTGGGAACAACAGGGGAGCAAGCTCCAAGCTACTAACTAGGGCTCCTGGTCAGAGACACTCCTGGTGAATCCCTTCCCCACCCCACCTCGACAGTAAGATAGCAGTGAGCAAGGCACCGTTCTGGCACTCCAATGTCCAACAAAATGGGTACCCCCTACATCCCTGGAACAAATAAATGTATTTTATGTCTTTCAAATATCAAAACAATGTACCAAATCTGCCATTCTCTAAGTGAAGGATTCAAAACTTCACAGCCTGGCTGACAAGGAAGCTCCTTCCAGGCTCTGGGGAAAAACAATGGGAAGAGAAAAGGCCTTCAGGCCTTCACAACTGTAGCTATTTGAGTCTCAAAGGTGCACAAGAAGAGCTGAAGTCATGAAGAGGGCAAAAGAATGAAGTGGCAAAAAAGGAGTATTTAAAAAAACATTAAAACCACCTGAAAGAAAGGAGTTTAATTTAAGAACCATTAAATAGATGCAGAGAAAATGGCCAATGCGTAACT